AGTTGGCGCTGACTTTGGGCTCTAGGTGCACATTGAAGGTATCAGTGGCACTGATTTCTTCTGCAAGTGTACTACCAGGAGATACTCCATATTCCTATGTGTTCTTGAAAACTACAGACTCTCTTAAACAGTGCAGATCGTTCATTATGACTCAGATTTGTGTGAATGAGGACCATCTTCAAAATGTTGGTGGAGTCTCTGCGCAATATTCTAACAACAGGAAGAAAATATTTGTTTATTTATACCTTTATCATAACAAAAGATCCTAAGAGGTTTTACTGGAGTGTTATGAAACAAAATTTGCCACAGATGGAGCAATGAAGTAGGTTTTAGAGAAATTATCTCACTGATTTCAGTACATAAATGTTAACATCGCTGCAGAAATTTCTAGTTGTTTCACTGTTACTTTGTTCCTTAACAACAACTGAACTAAAAATAAGTTCTTCTGGCCCAACTGCTCACATATTAAATAAAAACTGAAAGAACTATGGATGCTGTAATTCAGAAACAAAAACAGAAATTACTGGAAAAGCAGATCTGTCAGCACCTGTGGTTAACTGTGATATCTGTCCACAGATGCTGCCAGGCCTGCTGAGCTTTTCCAGCAATTTCTGTTTTTGTTGCTCACATACTACTTGGTTTTTCTAATTGCTTACTATATCTGCTGTTTATCTTGCTTTGATTTGCATACAGAACACCCAACTCCCCCTACATAGAACATAAGACAGTACAGCAGAGGGATAGACCCTTCGGCCACCATGTCAGTGCCAACCATGATGCCATTCCAAACTAATCCCTTCTGCCGTCACATGGACCATATCCCTCTGCTCCCTGTCTGTTCATATGTCTGTCTACCACCTCCTCTGGCAGCATGCTGCAGGCACCTACCACCCACACACATCTCCTTTAAACTTTCCCGTACTCACCTTAAACCCATGCCCCCTTATTTTTGTTACTTCTACTCTTGGAAAAAGACTCTGATGATCCATCCTATCTAAGCAACTTATAATTTTGTATACTTCTATCAGGTTACTTCCCAGCCTGTGTTGCTCTAGGGAAAACAAGTTTGTCCAACCTCTCCTTAGAATTAATAACACTCCAACCCAGGCAACATCACGGAAAACCTCTTTTGCACCCTCTCTAAAGCCTCCATGTTCTTTCTTTAGTGTGGCGGCCAGAACTATACACAATGCTCCAAATGTGGCCTAACTAAAGTCTTATGCAGCTACAACATGCCAGCTGTTATATTGGGGAGTGGGGGGCAAGTCTCAAGTTTTTAACCCAGTAACAGTGAAGGAACAATGATATAGTTCCAACAGAGGATATTGTATGATTTTGAAAAGTGCTGGTGTTCCCATGCATGTGTTATGTTTGTGTTTCAAGTTGACAGAAGTTGTATATTTGGAAGGGACTGTCGAAGGAGCCATGAACAATAACTGATGTCCATCTTATAGACTATACATACTGCTGCTGCTCTAGACATGGTACCCAGTGGGAATGTTTAATGTAATGGATGAGGCACCAATCAACAGCTCTTTTGTCTTGCATGGTGTCAGGTTTATTGAATAATCTTGGAACCGCACGCATCCAAATCGAGATTACTCAATCACACTCTTGGCTACCAACTTGTAAAAGGTGGAAGGGCCCATCATAAAATCCCTACAGTGTGGAAGGAAGCCATTTCACCCATCAAATCCATACCAACCCTATGAGGAACATCCCACCCAATTCCTGCATTTCCCATGATCAATCCACCTAACCTGCACATGTTTGGAAAGTGGGAAAAAAACCAGAGTGCCCAGAGGGAAACTACGTAGACACAGGGAGAATGGGCACACTTCATGCAGACAGTTGGCCATGGGTGGAATCAAACCCAGGTCCCTCATGTTGTGAGGCAGCAGTGCTAATCACTAAGCCACCATGCAGCTTGAAGGGATTGAATTCCCATTCTCTGGCCTGTTCCTGTGATGTTTGGTCTTGTTTCATCATGCTGCTGCTAAGTGTCATTAGACATTTTATTACATTGTAGTGCTTTTTAAAGCAAGGTGTGGTTGCAATGAATATTTCTTAAAGCTACTAAAGTTTGACCTGAAATTTGAGAGAACTTAAACTGAACAGATGCAAACAATAACCGGGAAAAAAAAAATCACTTATTGCTATAACTTTCCTCTGACGCTGGAGGCCTAACAAGCAAGGCAAATGAACTCAGGGCATGGTTGGGAACTTGGGACTGGGATAACATATCAATTACAGAGACATGGCTCAGGGATGGACAGGACTAGCAGCTTAATGTTCTAGGGCATAGATGCTATGGGAATGATAGAGAGGGAGGCAAGAGAGGAGAGAGGGTGGCATTTTTGATTAGAGATAACATTACAGCTGTGTTTGAGGAGGATATTCCTGGGAATATGTCCAGGGAAGTAACTTGCGTGGAAGTGAGAAATAAGAAAGGGATGATCACGTTATTTGGATTGTATTATAGATCCCCCATTAGTCAGAGGGAAATTGAGAAACAAATTTGCAAGAAGATATCAGTTATCTGTAAGAATAATAGGGTGGTTATGGGTAGGGGATTTTAACTTTCTGAACATAGACTGGGACAGTCATAGTGTTAAGGGCTTGGATGGAGAGGAATTTGTTGACTGTGTACAGGAAAATTTTCTGCTTCAATACATGGATGCACCTACTAGGGAAGGTGCAAAACTTGACCTAGTCTTGGGATAAAGGCAGGGCTGGTGACTGAGGTGTCAGTGGGGGAGCACTTTGGGGCCAGCAACCATAACTCTGTTAGTCTTAAAATAGTAATGGAAAAGGATAGACCGGATCTAAAAGTTAAAGTTCTAAATTGAAGAAAGGCCAATTTTGACAGTATTAGACAAGAACTTTCAAAATTTGATTGGGAGTAGATGGTCACAGGTAAAGGGATTGCTGGAAAATGGGAAGCCTTCAAAAATGAGGTAACAAAAGTCCAGAGACAGTATGTTCCAGTTAGGGTGAAGGGCAAGGCTGGTAGGTGAAAGAAATGCTGGATGACTACAGAAATTGAGATTTTGGTCAAGAATGAGAAGGAAGCGTATGTCAGGTATAGATAGCAGAGATCGAGTGAATCCCTGGAAGAGTATAAAGGCAGTAGAAGTATACTTAAGAGGGAAATCAGGAGGGGAAAAAAGGGGACAAATGTGGTTAAGGAGAATCCAAAGGGATTCTACAAATACATTAAGGACAAAATGGTAACTAGAATAAGGCCCCTTAAAGATCAGCAAAGCCACCTAAGTGTGGAATTGTAGGAGATGAGGGAGACACTAAACGAGTGTCTTGCATCAGTGTTTACTGCAGAAAAGGATATGGAAGATATGGAATATGGGGAAATAAATAGTGGCATCTTGAAAAATGTCCATTATACAGAGGAGCAGGTGATGGAGGTCTTAAAATGCAAAAAGGCGGATAAATCGCCGGGACCTGATCAGGTGTACCCTAGAATTCTGTGGGATGCTAGAGAAGTGATTGCTGGGCCCCTTGTTGAGATATTTGCATCATCAATAACCACATTTAAGGTGCTACAAGACTGGAGGTTGGCTAATGTTGTGCCATGATTTAAGAAAGGTGATTAGGAAAAGCCTGGGAACTATAGACCAGTGATTCGGTGGTGAGCAAGTTGTTGGAGGGAATCCTGAGGTACAGGATTTTCATGTATTTGGAAAAGCAAGGACTGATTTGGGATCGTCAACATGGCTTTGGGCATGGGAAATCGTGTCTCACCAAGTTGATTGAGTTTTTTAAAGAAGTAATGAAGAAGATTGATGAGGTCAGAGCCATAGATGTGATCTGTATGGTCTTCAGTAAGGTGATCGACAAGGTCCCTCATGGTGGACTGGTTAGCAAGGTTAGATCACATAGATGGAGAACTAGAATAGAGGGAGAACTAGCCATTTGGATACAGAGCTGTCTTGAAGGTAGAAGACAGAGGGTGGAAGGGTGACTTTCAGACTTGAGACCTGTGACCAGCAGTATGCTGCAACTATCAGTGCTGGGTCCACTGCTTTTTGTCAGTTATATAAATGTTTCGGATGTGAAGATTGGAGGTATGTTTAGTAAGTTTGCAGATGACACCAAAATTGAAGGTGTAGTGAACAGTGAAGAAGGTTACCTCAGAGTACAATGGGATCTTGATCAGATGGGCCAATGAGCCAAGGAGTGGCAGTTGGAGTTGAAAGGCAAAGCAGGGCAGGACTTATACACTTTGTGGGAAGGTCCTGGGGAGTGTTGGTGGACAAAGAAACCTTGGTGTGCACGTTCATATTTCCTTGAAAGTGGAGTCGCAGGTAGATGGGATAAGGAGGAAGGCATATGGTATGCTTGCCTTTATTGGTCAGTGCATTGAATATAGGTCTTGGGCGGTCATGTTGCAGCTGTACAGGACATTGGTTAGGCCACTTTTGGAAAACTGCATGCAATTCTGGTCTCGCTGCTATAGGAAAGACATTGTGAAACTTGAAAGGGTTCAGAAAAAAATTACAAGGATGTTGCCAGGGTAGGAGCATTTGAGCTATGGGGAGAAGGTGAAAAGGTTTGACCTATTTTCCCTGGAGAGTCACAGGCTGAGGGGTGACCTTATAGAGGTTTATAAAATCCTGAATAGCATGGATAGGGTGAATAGCCAAGGTCTTTTCCCGAGGGCGGAGGAGTCCAAAACTAGAGGGCATTGTTTTAACGTGAGAGGGGCAAGATTTAAAAGGGACCTAAGGGGCAACTTTTTCACACAAAAGGCGGTGTATGTATGGAACGAGTTGCCAGAGGAAGTGGTCGAGGCTGGTACAATTACAACACGCAAAATGCATCTGGATGAGTTTATGAATAGGAAGGGCTTAGAGGGACATGGGTAAAATGAGACTAGATTAATTTAGGATATCCGGTAGGTATGGACGAGTTGGGCAGAAGGGTGTGTTTCCACGCTGTATATCTCTATGACTCTCAACCCTGGTGATAGTTTTCAACGCTTCCTGCCTTTACTTCAGATTTTCAGTATCTGCAGTACCGTATTGCTTTATTATGCAAAGTGACGGTGACGCATAGGGAAAGTCCGTGAAGTGGTTTGGTTGCTGTGGCTTTCTCCAAGTTTGGAGGCGACTTCCTGTTGCGAGAAGAGAGTCTGTCGGAGCAGTAAAGCTGGTGCCTGGGGTCAGAGAGGGTTGTGCTGGGCAGGGCAGGGGGCTCCTGCCCAGGGTCTGGATTGTCGCTGCATCCGGCCGAGAGACTGGTTACAATGTGGCGGAGTAGAGTCCCGCTATGGAGCCTGCTGCTTTCCTGTGCTGTCAGCCTCTGCTGCTGGCATTCACTCCATGGGCAGGGTAAGTGGCATAGAATCAACATTTTACTGAATTCGTGTCGGTACCGGCTTTATCGCGTCCAGAATGGGGTCTGTCCCCGCACAAATACGTGATCTCTCTCTCTCTTCACCCACACCCACCACAAAGAAAGAACAGAGACAAATACAAACTTGGAGAGAATCGCCATGACCGAGGGAATTTCCAAACACCTTTTCCCCGCCCCTTGCCATGTACACTATGTGCGAATTAGCTCTGTGTTTTGGGAGGGGGGAATGAAGGGTTGGATCTCGGGTTAATATTTTCAAAAGGCGCATTGCAGAATGATGATTTTAACCACACAGGGAGGTTTTTTACGGGGCCACCATTCCCTTTTTTCTACTGGAAGTCGGTCTGGGCTGTTCTTTCCCAGCTCGTCCTATTCCGGTCTTTGTTTAGGCCTCACCCTTGGCGCAGCTTGTACAGTAAGCAGAGCAGTGGCGTCTTTCACCTCCTCTTTCGGTTGGTTTACACCTTTTTACAATGTTCTCGGTAGTGGTTTTGTGTAACCCCGATCTGTAATTTTATACTGTACGTTCATTTAGCTTAAAAGCTCTGATCAGTGTTAGGTTTTAGGATTTCAAACATTTTTTTCATTAGGACTAGGTTTTGTATTTAAGAGTGACACGTTTTCAATGAAGAAGAGCAAAATACTGGACGACCTCAGTCCTGAAGCAGAGTATTGAAAAATCTTTTTGAATAAGACCTGCAGTGGTGTCGGTCAGATGCTAGTAGTAATGAGAAGTCAGGCTGAGGGCGTATGTCAATACCATTTAATTTTACACACAATAGTGGTTAACTGAATGCAAGCTTCTCACAAGTGCAGTGTTAATTTTTCTTGTTAAAAGAATGGAGCCATTTAATTAGCACCAAAATGGGTTTGGTCAATCAAGAGTGAACATGAACCTTTAATGAGCTCAATCTGGTTTATTGCTAAGAGATCTAGCACTGCCTGCAGGAAAAGGGAGTTCAAGTACATGACCACCTTTTGTTGCAAGTGTGGCAGAGCCTACAGAAGCCACATCAGCCTGTACAGCTATTTATGGACACACGCTGAGACTGGAATAGAGTCATCCTCAGACAACAAGGTGCAGGGCTGGATGAACACAGCAGGCCAAGCAGCATCATAGGAGCAG